CCAACATAGTGAAACCCCGTCCCTACTAAAAATACAAAAAATTAGCCAGGTGTGGTGGCAGGTGCCTGTAATCCCAGCTACTGGAGAGGCTGAGGCAGGAGAATCGCTTGAACCTGGGAGACAGAGGTTCCAGTGAGCCGAGATCGCACCATTGCACTCCAGCCTGAGTGACAGTGCGAGACTTGGTCTCAAAAAAAAAAAAAAAAAATTTTCCTAGGAGCACAAACCCTATTGTGAACAGCGCATGTGAGGGATCTAGGTTGCGTGCTCCTTATAAGAATCTAACTAATGCCTGATAATTTGAGTGGAACAGTTTCATCCTGAAACCATCCCCTTCCCCATCACCTCACTGGTCCATGGAAAAATTGTCTTGCATGAAACTGTTCCCTGGAGCCACAAAGGTTGGGCACCACTGTATTCACTGAAACATAAGTGGATTTTCCATCTTTCTGCTGTTTCTTCTGATTTTCGTATCTGTGGCAGAATGACTAGGACATTTTGTGTTTCTCCTGTTAATAACAATTCACATTCTTTTGGCACTTTACAGTATTTTCACAATATTTTCCATTGTCTTTATTCACTTGGCTAAGATGGAGCGCCTCCTGTGGGTGAGCTGTGGTGCTGCACCGTGGTGCTGGCACATTGAGAAGCCATTGTTTATTGGGTGAAACCATGGGTCAGCAAATACTTATCATAAAATATAGACATTTGATGGCTGACAGTGGGATTCCCATGTCCACCATTAAAGTTCTAATGTTTAGCACAGCGCCTGGTGCATATGCCCTAATGACAATACGAGTGGCTAACATGCACTGAGTAATTACTGATAGCAAAGCAAAGTGCCCCAAATTTAAAATGAGTGGACACTTCAGGAATGTCATGCGGCTGCTCTGTCCAGCAGGGCATACAGGGATGAAGAAGTGTGGGTGGAGGGCCAGTAAGGTTCCATGATCTGCCCAACCACCCTGTGAGACAGGCAGGTGTCATGAGCCCAGTGCATAAGTCTTTGTTCGGTGTGGCTCATGGAGTGACAGTGGCTAACCAGGAAAGTGGCACCAACAGGCTGAGCACCACAGGCTCTGACTTTTGGGCTGGGGGACTAAACTGGACTGGACTGGACTGATGGACACTTTTCATCATCACCAGGATTCCCCTCGCTCCCATTAACGGAAATGTGAGCGGATCCTCCTTTCTGGTATTTGGACTAGCTTCCTAGGGGAGCGGGGTAGCTCCCCAGGGCCAGAGAGGAGTCAGAGCCAATCAGAGCAAGGCCCCGTGGGCTTCTCTCCTATAAGGAGGGATTGCAGGAAGCATCAGCCTGGGACTCAGGTGAGGCTCATGGGAGTCCTGAGAACCTTGCCTTCAATTAAACATCTGCCCTTCTTCTCTCTCTGGCCCCAGGATCAGAGCCCAGTGGGCTCCAGCCTCCTACTCCCACACTCACAGAGGGTGTCAGAATACCTGGCGTCTGTGGGGCTCCTGTCAGTTTGGAGGAAAATGGCGCCTGGAAAAAGTCTCCAAGTGCAGTGCTGAAACATTGAATTGAATCCAGCAAAACTTGGCACCTGGTTTGCTAATAGTGCCACAAAATGTCATAAGAGGAGAAAGTGGCCCTGAATATGGATTCGGAGGACAGGTCATAAAAGCCCCAGTGGGGGTCTAGATACGAGCTGCATGCTGGGTGACTGACGCATGCGACGGCCGTGTCTCTGTCCCTGGTGCTGACCAACCACACTCCTCGGGTGCCGTGCCTTCCCTCTTGGTGTTGGTGACTCCCGACCAGACTTAGCCTGGTGACAGAGTGGCAGTGAAGGAGGGTGAGGACAGGTAGACAACTTGGTAGAGGTTGCCGGAGCAGCCTAGCCATACAAAATTGTGAGGCAGAGAAAACTGCCTCAATTGCAGTTGTCAAGAAAGTTTTTAGTTTTCTCTCCAGGAATTAAGGAGAAATGTATTTCCCTGGGTCACTCACATGCACAGTACGTTGGAATTTTAATCTTGACTCCCCGAGCTTGGTGCAAGGCCACATCAATCCATCCTTCAAGGCCTAGGCTGAGTCTTTCTAGGAAGCCTTCCCTGGCTTGTCCAGGCAGAGTTGGCCATTCTGTCCTTTATGCCCCCTCCAAACTTCACTTAAATGGCCTGTCACTTTGTGCTGTGACAACTCACCTGGCAGGAGCTGAACGTTATTTCTTTCTTTCAAGCACGAACGCTGGGTCCTGAATAGACCAACAGCCCAGAAGATGTGTGTTGGGTGAATAACTCCCCCCACTAAATACCGTCCACCTGCCCATGCCCTGAGGTCATTTTCTCCCAACTTGCTCTGTCACCTGCCTTGAGATAACAGTCCATGGGTACCCACTCATAACTGCCATGTTGTCTGATGGCTCTGATGCATTCATGGGGTTTCTAGGGCCTTACCCCCTAGTCTGACCTTGCAGACCTTGGTCCCCATGCATTGACAGGTGAGATGGATATAGGCTTCAGCTGAATGCACAGGACAGCTGAGGCTCGCAGAGAGGAAGGCAGTTTTCTCAAGCCCCATGGTTCTGTAATGGTGGAACTGTGACTCTAAGCCTCAATTAAACTGGTTGTTTCTGGGTTTTTTTTTTCCCCCTCCTTTTTTTTTTTTAAAAGGGAATTTCTAAACAGCCAATGTTACCTGAACCTTTGATGATGCCAATTCTACTCGGCCGTTGAAAAGTTCTCGCTGCCCGTATCTGGCTCTGCCATGCTCTGGCCTCTTGATTCTTTTGCTCTGAGCTTGCCCTGTTCCTCCTATTCCACTGGGTTTGTTTGTTTGTTTGTTTGTTTGTTTTGAGACAGAGTCTTGTCCTGTCACCCAGACTGGAATGCAATGGCACAATCTCAGCTCACTGCAACCTCCACCTCCCGGGTTCAAGTGAGTCTCCTGCCTCAGCCTCCCCAGTAGCTGGGATTATAGGTGTGTGCCACAACGCTTAGCTAATTTTTTGTATCTTTAGTAGAGACAGGGTTTCCCCATGTTGGCCAGGCTGGTCTCGAACTCTCAACCTCATGATCCCCCCCCCCACCAAGGTGCTGGGATTACAGGCGTGAGCCACTGCGCCAGGCTTCCACCAAATCTTTATCACACATTTACTGGGTGCCAGGAACTCACAAGAGCCCTGCACAGTAGATGTTATCATCCCCATTTTATGGATGAAAACCTGAAACTCTGCAAGGATAAGTGGCTTGCACCATGTTGCAGAGCAAAAGGTGCAGCAGAAAGGATTCAAACCCAGAGCGAGCTAGCTCCTCTGACGCCACGTCCCCCTTGGCCTGAAATCCCTCATTATGGATGTCTGGGGAACATCTGGTCAGGTATCCAGAGCAACGAACCTGTGGGAAGGAGACTGCCCTGTGATTTATTTTCTTTGAGGTTCCCAGGGTATTTTTTTCCTCCTTTTAAAATGCAGCACTGCCATATTCCCACTTGAGGTCATTAGCCCCAGCATAGGTTAAAAACAAAGTGTTTGTGTCCATCCGTCTAATTGTGCAGAAACCATCAAACCCTCATTACCATCAGCCTAATTATTTTGAAATCTAGCATATTATCGTGTTCCACAATTAGGCAGATGATAAGCATTTGCCCCACCTGCCCAGGGAGAGGAGGTAAGCTTGGCATGAGGGAGGTGGAGAGGAGGGGGCCGTGGGCTGCCTTGGGAGGAAGTGAGACGTCTACACTTGCGGGAGCTCACCCACCCGCTTCTGATGATTTCCCGTCCCCCAACTTGCAAAGCCACTAACAAGAGTTTCACCGTAATGAGCAGGGAGAGTGGGACCTGACTGGTTGAAGGGGACAGTGTTACAGAGCTGGAAACTAATTGTCACCATTCAGGTTTCTGGGCATAAACAAAATGCCTACCTGGATGTCGTGAAACAGACCAGCCTGCAAGGCTTCTACGAACAGTGTAAACCTCAGCACAAATGCTTCTGCTTGTCTGCTGGCAGGAGTTGTCCCTTCCTGCACTGTGGCCTCCTTGTCTCTGCATGCTAGGGTGTTGGTTTGGTGCTGGAAGGGGACAATCCTGGGGACTGGAGGAGGACTTTGCATGGCAGTCTGAAATGCACCTCCGAATCAGAAAACAGAATGGAAGAGAGGTTGATGATCGGTTCATTTAATCCCCTTGTTTTATAAACAAGGAGACTCTTCTGCTGTAGTAAGATCATTTGCCTTTGACTTATGTACCAGATGTTGGAAAGAGAGATGGGTCAACAATGAGAAGAAAAGTTGCCATTTACTGAGCACTCACTGTGTGCCTGACCTTTTTCCAAGTGCTTTATGTGGATTTGACCCACATAATTTCTGTAAGAGTCACTTGTAGTCTTCCCATTTTATGGACGAGGAAGTTGAGGCACAGGGCTTTTAAGCAGCATGCTCAAGGTTCTACACAACGACGAAGTAGCAGAGGTACAGTTTGAACCCAGGCAGCCTGCCCTATGGCCAGTGCCCCCGATTATAATGTGACTCTCCCAGGTACTGCCCAACCCTACCCAAGTACCGAATAATGAGGGATGGAGTTCAGGCCACCATGCAGGCAAAGTCCTCTGCCAGCTCGTGGACTGCCCCTTGGGTCACTTCTAATACATCAGCATAGACTGGCAATTTGCAGGCCCCCCCCCAACTCAGCAGCCCACAGTCAGGTTGGCAAACAGCACCAAGACACTGATAATACAGGGGGTAAGTGTGCCAAGGGCACATGGGGCCTGTGGGCAGCCTGCCCAGGCTGTGCATGGTGGCGAGGCCTGGAAGGTTTTGCAAGGGCAAGGCTTGAGCTAAATCTTGAAGGAGGTTTAGATGTTGGTCAGAAGAAGAGGTGGGGTGGAGGCAAGGCGCACAGAGCTAAATCGTGGCAGGTGGGGACAGGATGGGAATGTGGCTTTCTGGGCTGCTTGCCCTGTGCTCATTCTACCCCACCAAGTGTCTCCTTTCTCCTCATGAGGCCGGAACTGCCTTCTGAACGCCATTGTGACTTGGCTCAGCTAGGAACCATGAGAGGACAAGATGACATCTCTTCAGGATGGTGTAGAGATGTGGGGGGAGTGTGCAGGGCTGGTGTGCGAGGGGTGGGGACACGTTGGGTTCATGGTGCTGTTTGTGCAGGTAAGATGCACAGGTGACAAGGAGGAGGCTGTTTTAAAGCCAAGGCAGGCACCAGTGCCTGGATAGGACTTTACGGTCCTTGAAACGGGTTCCCCCAGCCCTTCGTCTGTGTTTTGGAGAGAGGTCCTCTAGTTCCGCCTAGCCCTGGCTGCCCCAGCCACTGAGATGGAACTGTTTTCAACCACGTGGAAGAAAACCCGCCCCCAGGTTGGAAGAAAACCCACCCCCAGGTCTTGCTCTCGTTGCTGCTGTGTGTGACTGCAGAGAGGGCCTGGTTCTTAGCAGACCCTGAAGTGTCCCACAAAGATTAGAAAGTCCCACATTTGGGTTCATGTTTCTAACGGGGACTAGTCTAACAGGAGGAATTAATAGACGGGCCCTAGCTTTCCTGAGCAAGGCAGGTGAAGAGCACAAGATCACGGGAAGCATGAGGCTGGCCCTGAGGCTTATGTCCCACCCATCAGAGAGGACAGCAGCTCCACGGCCTCTTCTCCCCCAGAGGGGCTCAGCTGCAGGGAGTCTCCGAGCTGTGCTCCTGAGGCCGTTTGCGAAGTCCTAGCCAGAAACCAGGTTCCCACAGCCTCGGTCCCTGGGGCCCTGGGTCAGCCTGAGCTGAGTTCAGTCCCACTCTCTCTAACCTGCCATGAGGTTTTGGGTGACTCCCTTTGTCGGAGCCTCAACTTATCCATCTGTGAAATTGAGACAAATAACATGACCCATTGTATTAGTTTCCCAGGCCTGCCATAACACAGGGCTGCAAAACAGCAGCTTAAACAGCAGGTTTCTTGCCTCCCAGGGCTGCAGTCTGGACGCATGAGTCAGTGTGTGGGCAAGGCTGTGCTCCTTCTGAAGGCACTGGGGAGGCTCCGTTCCAGGCCTCCCTCTGAGCTTCTGGTAGCTCCTTGGCTTGTGGCTGCAGAACTCTGCTCTTCACAGGGTGTGTTCCCTGTGTGCCCGACTGTGTCCAGATATCCCCTTTTATTCTGATAGCAGTCTTATTGGATTAGCTCCTAGCCTAGTCCAGTAGGACCACATCATAACTATTTATATCTGCAAGGACCTTATTTACAAATGTAGTCACATTCGCAGGCGCTGGGAGTTAGGATTTTAATGTCTTTTTGGTGGGGGCACAATTCTACTGGTAACAGAAGATAAAAATATATGACCCCTTCCCTCAAGTTCCCAGATATTGATAGAAGCAGAAAATTCTAGTCAGGGGAAGGGGAAAGAAATTTCAGGAAGGTGAGTACAAGCCACACAGCTGACAGAAGATAGAGGAGATAGAGTGGATTCGCAGGTGAGACTGCGAGGGGCAGCTCCTTCCCTAAGATCCAGAGACAGACAGTGTGACCCTGGAGCGGCTTCTGAATCTCACTTCTTGTCTTCGACTTCAGGTGGCCTCCGGGAGAGCAGTTTCCGGAGATGAATTTCCTTCTCCTCCACCACTGCCCGTGGTCTCTGAGGCTGATGGAGAGAGACCCGGTAGGTCACCTCGTCTCTCGTTCCTGGAAAACATGCCATGTTATCAGCATGGCTCTGAATCCTATATCCACCCTCCAGCCACACCCCTGCAACCCCTGGAATCAAAGCCACCCAGCATCAGAGCACGGACGATCAAGGTGGACTTACCCGCTCAGAAAGAATGTGGGGCTTCCGTCGAGGGAGACCTCAATGACCTTCCTTTGAAAAGAAAAATGTCTTTGCAAGTAGGTAAATAAAAAAAGAAAAAGGAAAGAAAAGAAAAACGGAAAAAGATTTTCATTTCAAAATAATCTTTATTATCTGAGGATTACAAGAATTGTCACTTCAATTATGCTGACGTCTCTTCTTAGAAGGAGGTATAATGGCTTTCTCCTTCCAAGCTGGAGTGACTGTCATTAGGTGTGGGATGTACTCCATTACTTAACTCCCTGCCATTAGAAATGTTTAGTGGAGACACTGGCTGATTTTTCTTTTTCTTTCACTCTGCTCAACCCTCCAACTCCTCTTCTTCTGGCACAAAAGCACAAGAAGCAGCAGAAAACGCATATGAGCTTTCAAGGCAGGGAATCCTGGGTTCAAATGGCAGCTCTCAACTCACCTGCCAAGAGACCCCGGGGATTTTGGCAGCTGTAAGCGGGAATGATCGTTTGATCTGATGGCAGTGTTAAAGGACTAAGGAGACAAATATGAAAAGTGCCCAGGAGTGTGTCTAGCACACAGTGAGGGCTTGTAATGGCAGTGAGTGCGTTTCACAAGGCAAGCTACATCATGTTTCGTACCTGACTTTGTTGTTCTCGTGGACGTCGTGCAGTGGTTGACTGTAGACTCTGGAGCCAGTCCCTGGGTCTGCATCCTGACATACCAACTGCGTGGATTGGGAAACTTGCTTAGGCTCTCTGTTGTCTCAGTTTTCTCATCTGTAAAATGGGGATTAAAAACTCCACCCACTTAGTAGAGCTGTGATGAGAATCCAGTGAGTTTCTGTGTGTAAATTGCTTGGAACGGGATCTGGCCTAGAGTGAGTACTTGTTTTGGTTCACGTGGGCCCTGCTATGACAAAATATCATAGGCTGGGTGACTTATAAACAACAGGCATTTACTTCTCACAGTTCAGGAGGCTTGGAAGTCCAAGGACAAGGCACTGGTCAGATTTGGTGTCTGGTGACGTCCTGCTTCCCAGTTCATACATAGACGGCACCTTCTTGCTGTGTCCCATCATCGAAGAGGCACGCTAGCTCTCTGGGGTCTTTTGTAAGGGCACTAATTCCAGTCGTGAGGGCTCTACTCTCAAGATCTAATCACCTCACAAAGATTCCACCTGCTAATGCCACCTTGTGAGTTAGGATTTCAACATACGGATTTTGGGAGGACACAGGCATCAGACCATAGCCATGCTGTATGTAAAGTGTTAACTGCTATGAACTCCAGGACACTGCAAATAATTGATGTCATGCTTCCATGTTAATGCCTAAACTAGAGACTTTTATGCTGGGGACTCAGTCAAGGGGAGACCTGGTCAAAACGAACTAAAGCATATAGGGGCTTGGCGTAAACACAGTGGCCTCTTGTGACATTTAGCTGCCACCATTCTCCTCTCATTCATTCAGTTGAGGGCCTGTTGTTTGCCACGTGCTACGCAAAATTTAAAAATAAAATGAACTTGCTCCTATCCCACATGGGACTTACAATCTATTGAGTAACAATAGACAACAAACAAGTAAATCACATTTAAAATGTGATACTGTTATGTTTTGAGAAGGGAGAGGAGAACATGGAATGAGGGCCTAATTAGTTTGGTTAGGGATGGCCACACCTCTGCAGGAAGGCCATACCTGCAAATTAAATTTGCAGCAGGAGGCAAAACCAGCTACAGGGGATGCGGGAATGGGGACAATGTCCAAAGCAGTGGGAAGAGCCTGCCAAGGCCCTGAGCTGGGAAAGAGCTTGGCAGGCCAGTATCAGGGTTGGGGAGAGTGGCGTGAGATGTCCTTGGAGAGGCCAGCAGAGGCCACATCATACCTGGTTTTCTGTATCCTTCGCTTCTGATTAGGGCACAACACATTTACTATGATGACCTGTAAGAGAGAGAAAGATCAGAAAGTACTTTGCCACGTGGGTCCACTTGCTGGCATTCCAGGCAGCTCTGCAGTCCCATTCTCTAGGTGAGAAGACAGAGGCACCAGGGTGGAAGAGGCTTGTTAAACTGGAGCAGAGAGATTTTGAAGGAAGAGTTAGAGAAAGTAAACTGGTGGTCAGTCCCCCAGATTCTCACTGTGCTGGAAGCTTGCTTTCTTTTTTTAATGCTAATTTAATTTTTATTGTTGTGATACATATACGCAGTTTAAAATCAAATTGTTCTATATGTTCTACATAGTGAAAAACACCAGCCCTGTGTTTGAACTTCCTTCTCTTGATTCCTGATCCACGAAGCAAACACTTTCAACTATTTTGATAGTTTCTTCTGATATTTACCTCTCCAGTTCCAAAAACATGCTATGTACTCTGTCTCTCTCTCACACGCACACTCTCTCTAGATCTATAGATGTATCTATAGAGAGAGATCTAGAAAGATCTAGAGAGAGAGTGAGAGTGAGAGAGAGTATATAACATGTTTTTGGAACTGGAGAGGTTCTGTATATATTTATTTTATATGTAAAATAAATCTCTTTATATATAACAAATATCTTGATAAATAATAAATCTATGTACGTATTTTGGGGTATTGATATGGTTTGGCTGTGTCCTCACCCAAATCTCATCTTGAATTGTAGTTCCTATAAGCCCTGGGTGTTGTGGGTGGGACCTGGTGGAAGGTAATTGAATCATAGGGGCAACTTCCCCCGTCCTTTTATTCTTGTGATAGTGAGTAAATTCTCACGAGATCTGATGGTTTATAAGGGGCTTCTGCATTTGCTTGTCTCTCATTCTTCTCCTTCTTGTCTCCATGTGAAGAAGGATATGTTTGCTTCCCCTTCCACCATGATTTTAAGTTTCCAGAAGCTTCCCCAGCCCTGTAGAACTGTGAGTCAATTAAACCTCTTTTTAAAAATAACTTATCCAGACATGGGCAGTTCTTTATAGCAGCATGAGAATGGGCTAATACAGGTGTCTATGTATGTATATATAAAGTATACCTAATATATAGATTTATAAATAGATGATGTAAAATTGTTATCTATTATCTCTCTATTGATCTATCTATCTATCTAATTTGTTCGATTCTCTGAACAATCCTGACTGATACACTAGGTATGTGACTTCGTGTAAGCTACTTAATAATCTTGTCCTTTAGTTTCTTCATCGGTATATTAGTCCATTTTCACACAGTTGTAAAGAACTACTTGAAACTGGGCAATTTATAAAGAAAAGAGGTTTAATTGACTCACAGTTCTGCGTGGCTAGGGAGACCTCAGGAAACTTACAATCATGGCAGAAGACAAAGGGGGAGCAAGGCATGTCTCACACAGTGGCAGATGAGAGAGAGAGAGAAACAGAGAGAGAGCAAGGAAGTGCCACGCCTTAAAACCATCAGCTCTTGTGAGAACTCACTCACTATCGCAAGAACAGCATGGGGGAAACTGCCCCCATGATCCAGTCATCTCCCACCAGATCCCTTCCTTGACACATGGGGATTATGACTCAAGATGAGATTTGGGTGGGGACACAGAGCCAAACCATATCAATTGGTGACGTGACTCTAATTGAATTTATCTCATAGACCATCAAATTAGATGATGCCCATTAAACACTCAGCATAGTACCTTGCACATAGAAAGTATTAAGAAAATTTTAATAATCATTACCATATTTTCTCATATCTAAGGTATCGTCTATTGTTAGCTGTGTTGCTTATTCTATGCACCAAGAAAGAAAAAAATTCTGCCACTTGATTGTAAGAATGTCACCTCTAAGATGCATTCTGATTTCCAAAGAAGCTAAAATAAATAAGTAATTTAGAACATAATAATCTCATTATTGTTCTTATTGGCTGCAGCCTGCAACCTCTGTGGCCTCTACTGAATTATTTGTATAATAGTAATAATGCAAATTGTTTGGAATGGAGTGAAATGGTTCGTGTAGGTGATTTAGTTATTTTCTCCATGTCTAACTGTGGTCTTTAGTGCAAAGGACGAGAAGGGACAGGGTAACATTCACCAAGTTGGTGGGATTAATACAAGCCCATTTGATGAATGGAGAAACACAGGCTAACTGAGGTTAAGTAGCTTGTCCAAGGTAATATAATCCTAAATGTAGGAGCTATTAGTTTAACCCAGGCCCATCAGAATTCAGGTCATTCTTCAAAAGGGAAAATCCTTTTCATTTGGCCAAAAGTCCTGGCCCCATGCAACCTGCTCAGTCACTTTGCTTTTCCTTGTCTCCATAAGCCAAAACCCTGGGTCTGCCTCCATCCTGCACCTGCTTCTCTGTCAAGGCCCCTCTGGGCTCTGCCTGTGTTTTGGAGGACCCCAGGCTCAACACAGCTGGTTTTGCCACCTATTCTCTGTATGGCTCAGGGCAAGCCCCAGTGCTGTCTTCAAAGGACCCAAACATAGTCCTTGGTGTGTACAGTTTCTGTAAGGACTTAATCATATCAAAGGCAGGATTTTCTAAGAGCGGAACTGAACTTGTTTCTGGTCCACTGTGTGATTTTGGGCAAGTTATGAAACTCTCAGAAGCCACAGCTTCCTTCTCTGAAGTTCCCTGCACACTCTTTAATGAGGTAAACAAAACCAAGGGGAGATGATGGTTCCTTGTTGGGTGGAAGTGCCAGGCAACTACCAGGAACCATTGCTTTTGAGGGGCGTGGGGACTTCAGGCTTAGCTCTGTTCCTGCCTCATTTAGCTGGTTATGATGCTTCTGGCTGCTCACTCTGAGAGGGCCCAATTTGGAAGGAAAGGATTTATAGGAACAATAAGTCAGTCCCCTAGGCACTGGGCTGACATTGCATTTTACTGTAGGGAGACATAGAAGAATCCAGGCGAGAGCTGAAGATTCTCCTAGAACCTAGAACAGAGCTTCTTAGAACACCTCAGAAGTCCTGTTGTGAATGTCTCAGCTGTGGCCTCTACTGAATTATTTGTATAATAGTAATAATGCAAATTGTTTGGAATGGAGTGAGATGGTTCGTGTGGGTGATTTAGTTATTTTCTGTCAGTGTCCAGGGCAGTAAGAAGAATAATCATGATAACGACAAGACTGGCGACGGTCATGTGTGTTTCCCGGGTGCTAAGCACTGTGCTTAGTGCTTCCATTATGGTGATCCACTCATTTATTTCTCAAGGCAGCCTGTGAGCAAGGTGCCGGTGTTGTCTCATGCACAGATGGGCAGAGAGCTGCTGCAACTCCTCATCAGGATGTCCAGCTCCTGCTCAGCAGAACTGGCATTTAAAGGCAAGTGTGCCTGGATTTCTGATTGCCAGGTGATTCCGTCTTTTACTTAGAGTCTGTTTTATTTATTTATTTATTTTATATCAGAATGCACCCAAGGATTATAATTTATTTTATTCAGTGGGTTGTAATCCGTTATGATTATTATTTACTTCATTGCTTACCCGTCCCAGATTT